CGGGACGGCGGCCACGTGACGCCGCCGCTCGGCTCCCTGCGCTCGGCTCCGCACCGCACCGCGCCGGGCGCTGCGCACCGAGCTGCGGAGCCGCCGCCGCCGCCCCCCGCCTCCGCGCCCTCCACCCTGCCCGCGGGGCACGGGAGCCGGTGACGGGAGCGAGGCGGAGTCTGGAGGGAAGATACCGAGAGATAGAGATTTAAATCACATCCCCGGCTGTAGAAGGGGCAGCAGCAGCAGCAGCCCCGGCGCAGAGGTACGGACGCACGCGCCGAGACAGGTCTGCCGGCTCCGCCGCTGCTGCTGCTGCTCATCATGGGTGCCGCAGCCGCCGAGTCCCCCAGCGCCATGGGCCTCGTGTCCAGCGTGGTGAACGACACCCTCGAGTTCTACCGCTGGACCTGGAGCATCCGAGGTAACGCGCCAGGGCGGCCCCGGCCCCGCCATCGCCGTGCCCGGCGCCCCCCGCCCGCTGCCACTGATGCGCAGCGGCTCAAAATGGCTCCGTCTCCGGGGAGACGCGGAGCGCGCTCCGGCTCCCCGGGACCCCCCGCACCCGCCTCTCCTCCTCGCCCTTCTGGGTGAGCTTGGGTACTTCGTTTGTTTATCCGCCGTAATCCCGGGTAAGGGCCCGGGCTGCGCGGGGCATCGCGTCGTGGCAAGGTGAGAGTGTCCCTCGGGCGCCCGTGGGCTGGACGGAGCGAAATCCGCTTCCCAGAGCCGTGGCTCCTCTGGTTCCCTTTCGCCGCGGTGTGCCTTGGGGTGGTCATACGGGAATCTGATGTTGGAGGTAAGCGAGGCCCTCCGGTACTTCGTGCCGGAGCTCAGACGGCCTCCGGCTTCTGCGGCAGGTGGGAGCCCCGTGCCGGCATCGCGTGGAATTAAGCAAACGAAATGAGGAAACGATTGTTATCGTCAATGCTGAAGCTTTTTGTTTAATGTGAAGTGTGTTTGGGTTAGTTTTGCTGTTCTTCATTTTTAATATGCTTCATTTCTGTAATTGCACTCCATGACTGCAATGTGGAAGATGCTGAAGGAAGAGATAATGTCTTGGAATATGGAGAAATGTGAAAAAGCAGCTTTCAGTGTTGGAACAGTAAACGAGGTGGTAACTTGCTGCAGTGACTAGTAGCTCTGGAGGTATTATTGGTCAGCGTGAATGGCTCTGTCTCCTTGGTCAAATGAAAGGAGTTGCAGCTTTCATAGCTCATATTGTGAGTAGGCACGGGCAGTTGACAGAAGGATCACTTTTCTGGATGTTTTCCTCATTTTTTTAGTTGTCCACACAATGATGAGGTCTAGGCTATTTTGATTTAAACCTAAAAACACATAGAGCAAAACCGGAGTGAATGCAACTATGGACGTGGTTTGTGGCAGTGTGGTGAGTGGGAATATGGGGCCTTCGTTACAGACGGGGAGCTCACTGCATCAGTAGTCTTTGCTTTTCCGCCCCCCTTCTTTCTACCATCTGTCAGATAATAAATTAATTTTATGTTATAGATGGAAGGAGCTCACTTTTTTCCACAATTTGTCTTCCCAAAGCTTAGGTGTTTTGCCATATTTTAAAAATTAAGCCTACATGCGTATTTTTCTTTTCTGTATTTAACAACTGCCAGAATATGAGAGCAAATAAAAATGCTTGCAGCAGCACTGCATTGTAATTTACCAGTGTTTGCTCTCTTTCTCTGCCTCTTGCAACATACCATTGTTTGTAGACTGCCAGGTAATGTGTGGAAGAGATGCTGTTCTAGCCAATCAATAGCATTTTCAGATGGATATAGAAATAGATGTGAGTACAAAGTTGATATCCTTATGGATTACTTGATTTCTTTGGAAAAAATACTTCAACTTCTGATATGTTTCCTGAACTTCAAACATGTTATTTAAGTCTGTACATAGACCATGTTTGTTGTAAGCAAGACTGATGAGAGAAAAACTAAAAAAAAAGGAGGGGGATGAAAAAGCAAGTAAATGTAAAGAATGTAGCAATAATGTAACTGACAGTGATACTACATATAGAGCAAACTTTCATTTCTTCCTTCTCCTCTTTGCAGAATGTTTAGTAGTAGGGTGACTACATTGTGATGGCAACTAAAATATGCTTAAGTCTTACTAATTTTCTAGTGCAGATTTTTAAATTTTTGCTCTAAGTTCGGTGGTGTTGCTGTTAACACAGAATTCCATTGTAATGAAATAATCAGTCCTATTTTGTGTAAGAGGTGGAGCGTTTCTTGTTCAAATTCTGAATTTCAGCAGGTTCCTGCAAGGCTAGTTTTGGGCAGAGCAGAAAAGCATACTACAGTACTTTATACCCAGTAGTACGTAAACCAAGGTCCTCCTGTAGTGTTTATGGTCAGATATGGATAGGCAAAACGTGTAATGTCTCACATTGTAGTCACAAGGTAGCTCTGGATAAGAAAATGTCATTCATGAGGCAATGCTGTGTAGCTTTTCAGTGAAATAATTTCTTAATGCATTAAGTTCCACTCAGTTTGCTGCTTTTTGGCATGTGTCTTTGTTCAGACAAAAATAATTGTCTCCATTTGCCATGTCTGAGTGAATATATAGCATCCTGCCAGTACCTAAAGGCAGGTGACAGGAGAGGTGGATAGGGACCTTTTACAAGGGCAAGTAGTGATAGGACAAGGGGTAATGGATTCAAACTGGAAGAGGGCAGGTTTAGATTAGATATTAGGAAGAAATTCTTTACTGTGAGGGCGATGAGGCACTGGAACAGGTTGCCCAAAGAAGTTGTGGATATATCATCCCTGGTAGTGTTCAAGACTGGTTGGATGGAGCTCTGAAAGTCTAATGGAAGGTGTCTCTGCCCACTGTCAGGGTGGTTGGAACTAGCTGATATTTAAGGATCCTTCCAACCCAAACCATTTTATGATATGTTCAAATCATGAATTCAGCACTGTTATGTGAATTCACGCAATTCACCTTTGTGTCAAGAGCTATGACAGTGATATTGCTCAACAGAAAACTTAAATTATGGCATGCAAGACCATTGCCTAATGTTCAATATCATTAAATAAAAAACTATACCACGCAGCAAAGTTGCTCAACAAATGATGCTATGCAATAGCATTACACAATAAATCATACTGAAACACTACTACACAGCAAAATTACACAACAAAATGTGAAGAAATTTTATTCCCACTACGACTCCTACACTTATTCTCTCCAGTTCCCACTTCCATTTTTCATTGGACACCCATCTGTCCTTAGCCCTGTTCTTAGTATTCAGCAGGATTGTCCTGCCAGCAGGTGTTTTCTCCTGCTGCCTCAGACTCCTGTGATGAGACTTGTGTAGAACTGTGCCAGAATGTCCCACTGAGTTTTGTGATGCTTTATTTTTGCACATTAAGGATTTGATCTTTTTCCTCCCCTGCTCTGTACTATTTAAAAGCAACTGACCTTTTCTGAGAGTAAAAAGAACCCCAAAAGATTGTGTATATGATGAGCCTAACTGGATTTTGTTTGAATGATGTCACAGGGTTTTTTTCAGCATTAAGCATACTGTCTAACGCTGTTTTGTTTGTGGGTTTGGTTTTTTGGAGTTTTTTTTTTTAAGATCTTGCATTTGGGAGTAATATTAGTGTTCTGTGCCATTTTCCCCATATATATTATCCAGTACATTTTCAGCCTTACCTTAATGTTTTTGCTTGTTCATTTGTTGAAAAATTTTTTTTTTTCTCTCCTTACTTGACTACATCTAAAATCCATTGTAGCTGTATATTCACCTAGGAGGCTGAAGGATATCATTTAGGAAGCCATAAACTTCAAGGAGGGATACAAAGGTCAAAAACATGGTCTTAGTAGTCATCAGAAGGAGGAAAAAAAAAAGGTGGTCGGAAGAACAGTTACTATCAGGAAGGATGATCTAGGAATTCCATGCCCTTATTTCTGTAAGGGCATGGGACCGGTTCCATGTAATAGCTAGGGCAGGGCTTCCTTCTTTCTCTCAGCTCGGGTAGCTGGTTGAGGTGAGATCTGCCAGGAAGGATTAAGGATATGATTAGATGACTGAGCAAGTGACTTTCAGGGAGGTTCCAGGCTGTGTCCAGCGGAACTATTATGATGAATAACTCAGGACACAATCCAGGAAAGAAGAATGTGTAAATTTCAAAACTTGGGTGAAGAGACCACTGACAGTTGGGGAGGGGGAATAGGAGACTGTGGCTTGAAAAGGGGATTTGTGAAACGCTGTACAAAAAGATTTATTTAGAGGAACTAGTTAATTTGATTTATTGAGCTAAAGAGCAGAAGGCTTTTCTGACTTTGGGTGAGAATGATTGTTCTTGGAGCTCAGAGTTTAAGGAGGCAGGGCCATCCCGGGCCAGCTGGGACTACTTTGGAACAGCAACTATTTACAGCTGTTGCAGTTAATAAGATTACAGACTTTTTCCGTCAGTAGGAAAAGAGAGAGGAGAAAGATGCAAACTTTCACTTTAGTGGTAGGATAGTCTTCTACGTAGCATCTTGTTCAGAAGCAATATCAGTTGTAGTTTTTATCAGTTGGGTCAGAAGCATAAGACAGTGAGGATAGAGAACATGGGAAATTTACAGCTGCTTGCCTGAAGAGTGAATCAGTGGAACAGCTTCCATGGGAATACATAAAAACTTTTGCCAGGAAGATCTTTAAGAACGCCCAAGAAGTTCAGGTTCATTTTCTTTTTCAGTCCAGGGAACAGAACTGGAACAAAACTTGTTTCTTCTTCCCTCATTCATTTCCCCCTGGAGAAACCAACTATGGCCAAAGGATCCTGAATGTTTATGCTTTAGGAAAGCTCATTGGGGTGGTTAGCAGAACACTCTGAGTGCAAGTTGTCCCTTGTATTTGAGGATTTGTGCCAAAGCTGGAGGCAAGTAGAATCCCAGTGAAAGTTCCTCAGAAAGTGATGATGGGGGGAGAGAGAATGAAGGGTGAGATGAAGGTACAAGAAGCCTATTTCACAGAAACAAAGCAGAATGTGTTCCTAAGCTTTTGGATGGCTGGCTGAGCATTAGACTTGGTGATTTGGAATGGTGACTTGGTGATTTTTGATACTTGTCTTGCAGATACAATTTTCTTGGGAAAAATTTCTCAAGGGAACAGTTTTTTCCATCTGTGACCGTGACTGGGTAAAACACAAGGATTAGACAGGAACACACCAGAAACTGGAGAAGCAGTGTAAATGGGCTTGGCTGTCTTGTGGCAGAAACACAAAGAAAAAAACCTGTGGCATAACCAGCACTCGGAGAAATTGGTTACAGAAGTAAAGAATGTTAAAGACTAGATCATATGAGTCTGCTGTCAACCAAACTGAGCAATAGGAGCATCCCAGTTTATTTGGTTTGTTTCACATTTAATTGCTTGTCAGTGGAGGGAGGTGATGAGAAAATTATTTATTAGTGACGAAAAAAGAG